ATTGAGCTGGGCATGAAGTGCTGGTATCACTCCGTGTTTGCATGCCCTATCCTGCGACAGCAGACCTCAGATTCTAACCCCCCTATCAAGCTCATCTGTGGCCATGTCATCTCCAGAGATGCACTCAACAAGCTCATCAATGGAGGAAAGTAAGTCCCCCCTGCCTAGCTCCATCCTGGCCTGGCTTTCCTGGCCAGCTCTGAGATGGTCTTGCTTTTGCCTTTTCTTGCAGGCTAAAGTGTCCCTACTGTCCCATGGAACAGAATCCAGCAGATGGGAAACGCATCATATTCTGATTCCAAGGAACATTCTGGAAGGTGTAATCACCCATAGGCCTTTGTGGAGGGACTGGTTTCAGTAAACTGGATGCCTCTCAGACCAGCATTACCAAGAGAACCAACCTGCCTAGGCAGAGGCCAGGGAAGGCCATGAACCACCCTATGCCTCCTTACCTTCAAGGAACTGGCTACTCTGTTCCTGCTGTCTTTCTGTTTACACTTGCCTCTGACGGAGCAGCAAAGGCCTTGGCTATCAAATACAGACATCTTTCTACTCCTGCCCGTCAAAGGGGTTTCCAAATGTGGCCCACCTCCTTCTACTATACAGTCTTAACTGTATCTACCCATTTTCCACTGTAAATAGCCCGTTAGAACTGAATGCTGTTTTATAACTTTGAGCAAATATATTCATAACCCTTCTCCTTATTGCTGGCTAGGCTTGAGTTTCACTGACCAATGACTGCATGCCTTGTTACATATATAAGTGATTGGGCATTGTCTGGTGGCAGGAGCTACCAAACCACATCTGGTATTTCTGGCTAGGATAGCAGATCTGGGCAGAATGTTTCCCGGTATTGTGTAAAGACCTTACTAGTAAGCTGTTAAGATGAAAGCTTATAGTTCCAACGTTTGAGACCTCTAAGCCCAGATCTACCTCTGATTATTCCAAGATGCTTCAACTTGTTTGCTCTGCATCCTAATTCAGTGTGGGGCTTTAGGAAACGTTTTGTCAAGTGGGAGGACTTGGGTTTTTTTTTTTTTTTTTTTATGTGTGGGGGTATATTCTTACAAGTATGTCTGCCACCTGGTGCCCTTAAAAGGCCAAAAGAGGGCTTCAGTTTTCTGCAACTCGAATTACAGACAGTTGTGATGCACCATATGTGCTAGGAACTATGGAAGAGTGGCCAGTGCTCTTCTTACCTGTTGAGTTCATCTCTCCGGCTTCCAGGACCTGGGGTTGTATAACTAGCTTCATATTCTTACTGAAAATGTACTATGTGGATGGGCAAACTATTCTATCGTATGTAAGGCTCTTGGAGGTGTGGGGTGGGGTTTGGGCCCTGCTGCCTCGTCTCCTCACCCCAGCTGTCCTGGAGTGGGAACTGAAGACAGGTGGGCTGTAGAGACAGTGCTGAACATTTGCCAGGTACACCCTCGAGGCTGTGCTGAAAGGCTGCTTTCGCTCCTGCTGCCAACTCCTTGGCTCTGCCAGCAGCTGGAGTTTAAAAAACACCCACACACTTGCCACATTTCGCCTTAGCATTTACTTCTATGCCATATTCTTGGAACTGTCTTCATCAAAGCTCAACAGGAGACAGCAATGATGGCAAAGATGCTGGTTCGACCTCCAAGAACAGCTGCTGGGGCTGTCTGGGAAGACTCACACATCAAGAAATCGGGGAGATGCTGTTAGGGTGGGCAGCCGCCTGCAGCCAGCCCAGCATCTCTTGGAACAGGGGCTGGGTTGCAGCCCAAGTCTCTCACAGAGGTGTGGGCAGTGCCTGCACCTCCTCCAGGCACTTGTCATAGGCCTCCTGATATTCTTCATGGGGCTTCACCATGATCACACAAGTGGGACGCTTGGAGCCAGTGGCTGCACCCAAGTCCTACACAGAAGAGAAGAAAAGCTCCTGGGAACAGGGGTCATAGCCTAACCTGGCCTATAGCCATATCCCGTTGGAAAACATTACATATAAAAATATTTCAGATGTTTGCCATCACTTAAACTAAGCTCTCAAGCTGTGGTCCTCCAACCCAATACTGAATATTCCCACATGGCCTACAAGGGTATCCCTGAAGGAAGGACAGTGCCTCTTGTTTTATCAGTCTCTGACACCCTTTACATGTGTTTAAATAGTCTTAGCACACAGAAGATTCCCCCTTACAGGAAGGCAGCCTGCCAGCCATGTGCTATGCACTTTAGTCCCAGCTGAGACACCCAGACCTGAGAATTCCAACACTTGAGAAACTTCCTCAAATAGCCTCCCCAGGGCCAAGATGAGAGTGGGGCAGGGTGGGCATGAGCTCCTTACCGTCTTAGAGGGGATATAGACGTAGGGCAAGTTCTGGTCTTCGCACAGAACTGGAAGATGGCAGTACACCTCAATCGGCAATGTGTCTCCTGCCAAAATCATGATCCTGCAACGAGAGAAACCACTATTGGTTCTACTTTGCTCCCTCTCTTTCCCTTCCAGCCTGGCTGTGAGGGCACAGAGACGAATAGGATGCCTCACCCGACCCAAGGACCCTCACAGTCATGTTTGGCAAATGCATTCTTCTGGGGTCGTGATCTCTACTTGACAGCATGTAAATGTCACCAAATGTGACTAGAGGTGAAGTGCTGGGACAGATGAGGTATGGGAGAAGCGCCAAGAAATAGGTACTCAGCTCTCCTTAGAGTCAGTAAAGTCCCAACCAGGAGATGACCCTTGAACTTGAGTGCCATGTGGAGGATCCCAGAATGGCAGGTGTGGGGACAGAATAAGGCCAAGGGACTCAGTGCTGGTTGCCTTTTGCAGCATATACTAGGAGGGGGTCAAAGAACAAAGCTGAGAGATTGGCAGAGATCATACCTAAGGGTTTAAGTAACACACAGGCTCTGTCCCAAGAGAGAGCTTGCCAGAGTCCTGAACCATGGTTGTGAGCTATCAATGTACCAGACCCAGAAGTCCTGAAGATCCACCCAGAAGAAAGAATGTTCTCTAAGGGTGAGAGACAAAAATCTGTTTCCATACTCCATTCCCATTGGCACAGAGCTAGTCCTCTCTGCCTGCTCCTTTGCTGTCCTTCCCTGTGGTTCCTTTCCTGACTTATTATCATGGTGCCAGGTGCCACCTGAAGCTACAATCCCCATATGCTCTACCAAAACACAACCAGCTATCTGCCTGTAGGACAGCTAAGCTGAGCATATCCAGGGCATTTTCCATATCAACTCAGGATGCCTCAGAGGGTAAAGACACTCACTGCCGAGACTGACCACCTGAGTTCAATCCCTGGAACTCAAATGGTAGAAGAGAATCAGCTCTCACAAGTTGTCTGCTGATGGCCACATATGTATCAGAGTGTGCATGTGTGCATACACATGCAAGCAGGCACACACAGGTAATAACCACTTGAAATACTTAAAAGGTATCTAAAAATCACACTTAAAATGTTTTCACACAAACCTGGTTTTCCTCCACTGTCTGTCTACAGTCATAGACTAGAGCCCAAGCTAGCATGTAAAGTCATGATGTGTCACCGTCCTCTCAAATCCATCAGCTGTAGCTTCTGCCCATCACCTGACTTGGGCCACAACAGCTTCCTAAGTCTGACTTGCCTCTCCTAATTCTTCCCTCAGTGTCACTCCTCAGCTTCCACTCTGTTCTGGGAACACTAAACCTACCATCCCTTAGAAAGCCCAGGAGGGCTGGAGAGGTGCACGTGGTGGTGCCATCTGTAACTCCAGTCCAAGGGGATCTTATACCTTGCCTTCTGGCTTCCGAGGACACCAATGATGAACCAACATATACATGCAGGCAAAACATTCATACACTTAAAAGGCGTAACCACCATACATTGTGTAACCACTATAGTGCCCTGCCCAAGAGCTCATTCTTCTCAGGATTCCACCACCCCAATTAACGTTCACTCATTCTCTTCTGCTGTTTTGAGACAGGGTTTCTATACACAGTCTTGGCTGTCCTGGAACTCAGAGATCTCTGCCTTTGTTGGGATTAAAGGCCTCACTCACTACTCTTGGCCTATCATTCTATCCTTTTGGGAGTTTGTTTTGAGACCTTTTCATAGCCCACGCTGGCCTTAAACTAGCTATGTTTCCAAAGCTGGCCCTCATTCTCCTCTGGCCTACTTGGGAAAATGTCTCTCTACATACAGGACATTCCCTAAAACCTGAAAAAGTAGTGCCATTCTACAGAACTAACAAACAGGGCTCTAGTTTACACGGGCCAGATTTCTCTTCTCTTCCCTGTCATTTACTGGGAGCTCCATTTACTGGTAGTGAAGGAAGTTGACTGCTTGACTGGTCAGTCAACTTCACCTTAACTGAGTAGGTGGAATTTTTTCTTAACCAATTAATAATCCAAACTTAGTGGCATAGTATTTGTCTACCACGTACAAGGCCCTAGATTCAATCCCCGGCACTGAAAAACAAACAAACTAACAAACAAACCGCACAAAACTTAAAAACCAGCGAAGACAGGTTCTCACCCTTTCTCGCCCTTGTTGACAAATTTCTGAACCTCCTTCACCCCGCGACGAATCTGCTTCTGTTTCACAGCTACAAGGAGAGAGAGACATGAGCCGAGACCTCGTCGACCCCGGTCCGCCCAACCCGCCCGCCCGCCTCACCCTTCTTGATGCACTTGTAGAGCTTTCGTGTTAGGCGGCGGGAAGCTAGGGGCTGCGCGATGGGGTTCAGGTTGACCAGCAGCTCTTCGTACGTGCGCTCCTCGCTGCCGCCCTCCGCCTGCGCCTCAGACTCCTCGGGAACAGCCTTTATTTTGGTCATCTTAACAACTACAACTCAGTTAGGGCATAGAGTAACCACGCGGTCGCCGCCTTCGAGATATCTTCCGGGTTATGAAGCGGCTGTGACCAATTGGGAAACGAGGTATTCTGCACCGACCAATCGCTAAGTAGCTCTCTGGGGGCGGGATTTTGGATATAGAGGCGGGGTTAAAGGTCAATCTAGGCACGGGATTTGGATTTCCAGGGCGGGAATCTGAGGAAACCGAATTTAGAACTAGGCTTCCCGAGGGGAAGGGGAAGGGGCCTGGGGTCGAGAGGCGGGACCTAAAGGGAAAGAGGCGGGGCCGGAGAAATTGAAGCGGAGCGGAACTAAGGAAATTACGTCGCGTGTGTGTCCCCCGAGTTCCTGGACCTTGTGACTTGATGCTGCTGGTTAGGTAAAGCCTGGCGCACCAGAAAGTTTTTTCATATTTTCTTTTCCCCTTCCTGGATCCTGTTGCTCAAACTATAAACCTTTATGGAGAGGCAGGGGCAGGTGGATCCCTTAGTTCTAGGTGAGCCTGATCTACGCAGTGACTTCCTCTGGGCAGTGGTAGTGCATACCTTTAATCCTAGCACTTGAGAGGCAGAAGCAGGCCGGGCGGTGGTAGCGGACGCCTTTAATCCCAGCTAGCCTGGTCTACAGAGTGAGTTCCAGGACAGCCAGGGCTACACAGAGAAACCCTGTCTCGAAAAGCCAAAAAGAGAGAGACAGAGACAGAAGCAGGCAGAACTCTGAGTTCCAGGCTAGCCTGTTCTACAGATCGAGTTCCAGGACAGCCAGGAGTACACAGAGAAACAGTCTCAGAAAATCGCAAAGGGGGAAAAGAAAGAGAGGGACACAAGCTGGCCTCAACAGCTTATCTATAGTTCTAGCTATGTTGGAGACGAGGGTGAAAGAATGGCGTAAATCGCCAGGCAGTGGTGGCGCACGCCTTTAATCCCAGCACTTGGGAGGCAGAGGCAGGTGGATTTCTGAGTTCGAGGCCAACCTGGTATACAGAGTGAGTTCCAAGACAGCCAGGGCTATACAGAGAAACCCTGTCTCAGAAACCAAAACCAACTAAACAAACAAACAAACAAACAAAACAAAGAATGGTGGCCTAAATCCAGGAATTTGGGGACACTTCGGGCCACATAGGGAGACCCTTTCAAAACAAAGGAGACTGGTCAGTTGGCTCAACAAGTAAAGGTACTTAGTTCCAAGTCTGACACCTGAGTTTGAATAAATAAATAAATAAATAAATAAATAAATAAAAGCCAAGAATCCTGGAGGGTAGAGAGATGGCTCAGTGGTTAAGAGCATCTGTTGCTGTTCCAGAGACCTAGGTTCAGTTCCTAGTACCCACATGCTGGCTCAAGACCATAACTCCAGTTCCAGGGGATCTGAAAATGTCTAATCTGAAAGATGTGCATTCAGGTAACACACTCACACACATGGAATAAATGCCAAAAAGTTGTTAAATGTTAAAAGCAAACCTGAAAAACCAGAAAGGTAAGAAGGAAGGTAACATGCTGGATGAAGAGTCCAGCTAATGAGAAATTGGGAACAACACCAATCGGCCTCGTGACTGAGAGGGACTAATGCTGGTCTATAGTGAGGGCGGGTATGAAGGAGGATCCTGAGTGCCAGGTGCCAAAACTCAGGCCCACATTTAGATCTGAGCTTTGTGAAGGACAACAGAGAACCCGTCCATCCCTGACTGATAACCTTGAGACCTGTGAGATAACTGAGTATGATTTCCAGCCACTAAGCCATCACTTGGACAGCAGCAAGAGGACCCAAATATGCCCAATTGTTGGATACATTCTCTGAATTGCAAGAAAGACAGAACCATGGAAGGCTGTCGGAGGAAGGAGCACTGGGTAGCCTAGTAAAGATTGTAATAATCCCTTTTATCTCACTGTAGGGAGGATTACTAAATAGTGTGGGAAGCCAAGTATATAGACAGTAAATGGTTAATACTTGCCACCTGATCTGAACCTGAGGGAGACCTAGTGTAGGGAGACACATAGGGTGACTTCTGAGACTCACCTGTGTCTTCTGATGTTAGAGATGCCAAGGATTCAGATACCCATAAACTGTGGTGGCAGAGAAAGGTGGTCTCTCCACTGCCCAAGCTTTGATGGTCCCAGCCTTCTGGCTTCACTAGAGCGGGGGTGTGGCAGCTTCTGTCCTAATCCACTACCTTGCTTATACCGCCACCTCCTGGAAAGCCCTGGAATTACTACTAGCTGTGGCTAGCATTGCTCTGTTTGCAGAGTGGACTCAATCATCCGTGGATTTTGTTTTCTGTGTGGCATTAGTTACCCGAGGCCCAAGTTAATCCAAAAGTACTAAATAGCCGGGCAGTGGTGGCGCACGCCTTTAATCCCAGCACTTGGGAGGCAGAGGCAGGCGGATTTCTGAGTTCGAGGCCAGCCTGGTCTACAGAGTGAGTTCCAGGACAGCCAGGGCTACACAGAGAAACCCTGTCTCGAATTAAAAAAAAGTATTGAATAGAAATTTCATAGATATATGGTTAATAAGGTTTAAATATGACTGAAGCCATCTAGGAAAGGTTATGGCAAGCAAATGAGTTTCCTGGAGATGGCCCACTGTTCTGCATGGCTGTGATGGTCAGAGAAGCACAGCCCCAGAACCTTCCTCTGAGGATTCCGTCTTGCTGCTGATCTGCCTTTCCTGCCACTGTTACATAGCTTATGATTCCTGGGCATCAGCTGACCCTTTTGGGCAAATTTCCTGCAGATCAATATGATGATGAACTTTCATGAGTTAATGGTGTTAAGAGGAAGTAATGACTTTATAGAGTTGTTGATTTGATTCAAGTCATTTTAGGAAAAAGTTTAAGGAAAATGATTTTTGATTTTAATTGTTTTACCAGAAAGGTGTAATAAAGTTAGAATCAAGAGTAAAATGTTCTCCCTCCTCATAGAATAGTAAGTAAAGGCTGTATAATAAGGAATACCGTTAGCTTTCATGTATTGCACTAAGAAGAGAAACAGGCTTGGGACAAATTTGTGATCAAGAAAAAACATTCATTCTAGGCCAGGTCCAAGATGAAGCCACAGGTGTGCACTATGCTAGGGCAAGGCCATGTGACACTGTTGCTTTGAGGAGCTTACATCGAATGAGCTTGTAGAGTGAAACACTGCTTTGAACTTACTATGGACATTCTTCTGTAACTCCCCTTTTCTGTAACATTTTATCTATGAGGTAATATAAAGAACCTATTATTTTATAAAGAACCTTTGTCTAAGAAAGTATAAACTGCCAGAGAAAAAGAATGAACTGTGGCTTTTGGGGCTCTGCTCCCTCCACCAAATATATATACATATATGTGTGTATGCCTGTCTATATGTATGTTTAATATGTATATATGTATGTGCATACATATGGATATAGATATATGTTTCTGTGAACAGACACCATGACCAAGGCAACTCTTTTTTTTTTCATAAGCAATTCATGTTTTTTTAAAAAAAGATTTATTTATTTTGTGTATATGAGTACATTGCAGCTGTCTTCAGACACACCAGAAGAGGGCATCAGATCCCATTACAGATGGTTGTGAGCCACCATGTGGTTGCTGGGAATTGAACTCAGGACCTCTGGAAGAGCAGTCAGTGCTCTTATCTTCTGAGCCATCTCTCCAGACCTCAAAGGCAGCTCTTATAAGGACAACATTTAATTAGGGCTGGCTTACAGGTTCAGAAGTTCAGTCCATTATCATCAAGACAGGATCATGGCAGCATCCAGGCTGGCCTTGAACTCAGAAATCCACCTGCCTCCTCCTCCCAAGTGCTGGGATTAAAGGCTTGCCCCACCACTGCACGATTTAGGATAAGGGTCTTAACGCCCACATCCACAGTGACACACCCACTCCAACAAGGCCACACCGTCTAATAGTGCCACTCCCTGGGCCAGCACATACAAACCATCACAGTGTTCACATCTCAATGTACCTATTTTGTCAATTAAAGTTTGAGGGCTGGTGTAAAAGTACTTTTTATTTGCCTGAGTAGTTGTCATCTCCAAGGTTTATTGCCTCAGTCCTCAGAGGAAGGTGTCACAGCCCCAGGAGCTGGAATTGCAGATGATGATTGTGAGCCATCATGTGGATGTTGGGAATTGATCCCAGGTCTTCTGGATGAGTGGTAAATGTTCTTAATTCCTGAGCTATCTCTATAGCCCAAAATAAGTCTTTAAAAACATAAAATCACAGAGTAAGAGGCAGCCACGTGGCTCAGTAGGCAAAGGTGCTTGCTCCCAAGCCTGGGGACCAGAGCTTGATCCTCAGAGCTTGATCCTCAGCGCTCCTAGTTGTCCTCTGACTTCCACATGCACACCGTGGCACTCAAGTATGGTCCCTCACAAAATAAGTAAGTATAATGTTTTTAAAAATATGCAAGGTGCCAGGTAATGTTGGCCTTTAAAATCCCAGCACTCAAGATTAAAGCAGATGCAGGCAGAGCTCTGTGAATTTGAGGCCAGCCTGGTCTACACAGAGAAAACATTTCTTGAAAAAACCAAAAACTAAACCAACCAACTAAACAACCCCCCCCAAACAAACAAGCAAAACAAAACAAAACAAAAACACTCCTCTGTAGCAGGTAGCAGATATTAAAAATCTATTTTTTTTAAAAAAAGATTGACTCATTTTATAGTTATGAATATTTTGCCTGCATGTATGTCTGTATACCATGTGTGTGTCTGGTGCTCATGGAGGCCAGAAGTGAGCTGGAACTGGAGTTAATATGTGGGTGTGTGGGGTTGGGGATTTAGCTCAGTGGTAGAGTGCTTGCCTACCAAGAGCATAGGCCCTGGGTTCGATCCTCAGCTCTGGGAAAAAAAAAAGACTGTGAACCACCATGTGGGTTCTGAGAACTGAAGCTGGGTATTCTGTAAGAGCAGCCAGTGCTCTTAACAAGGGAGTCCTCTATCCAGCCCCACCCCTAAATAAATCTTTAAAAAAAGAAAGAAAAAAAATTAAGATGGGGTTGAGCTGGGTCAGTAGGCTGCCTACTTGCATGGACAAAGCTCTAGGTTCATTTCCCAGAAAAACAAAACAAAATAAAAGCTGGGTATGGTGACTTGCACCTGTAATCCTAGAAACAGGAGGATCTGGGTTCAGTCATTTTTGGCTACATTAGGAGGTGGCAAAGTGACAAAGTGTTTTATTTCGATCTGTAAACCAGGCCCTGCCTTCCTAGTGGAGAAGTAGTCTGACTAAGATCCCCAGAAGGGCGTAGAAACAGAAGGAGGCTTCAGTCAGCCTCCGGAATTTAAGAAGCAGGACATAGGTTCTGGCAGTTTTCTTATGTTAACTGGAGACTTGAGTGTCCCCTGACCGACAGCCGAAATCTTCTCACTTTCTTGCACCCTCTCTTTGCCGCTTGTTGGGCTTGCTCTGTGACTGTGCAGTGGTATGCTAACTCGCTTTGTTTTTCCCTCTGTTGTGCAGGGAGGAGGGACAGCCAGTGGGTTGTCCTGTCCCCGCCTCTTCCGGTTTCTGGGCTTGGTGGAGGAAGAGCGGCACTGGCACTGGTGTTGTCTGTGGACTCTGGCTTTCACAGTGCTAGTCTACAGGGTGAGGGAGGACCCAGAGGCCTCGCGGGTGTGATCAGAGCAAAAAGACTTTGCTCTGGAGCAGCTGGGGGACAACGACCAGGGAGGCTGCTGCCTTTACTTATTTGGCCCCCTTTCGGTCCCCTTTGCTGAGTTTTGTCAAAGAGAGGGTTGGACTTTGTTTCTGAAACAAAGCATCTCTTTCTCTTTTAAAGATTTATTTTTTGTCAAGCCCAGAAGGAACCCCATTTCTCTAAACTCCGAAAGGCAACAGGCAGTCCAAATATCCAGAAATAAGCTCAGCCTGCAGTCTAAGAGGATTTCTGGCAGTTAGATAAAAGCAAGCGTTCCTCAGGAACTTGTGAAACCGGTTCTCACTTGCCAAAAGGAGTCATTTCACTTACCTGGAGCAGAAGGGTAATATGGCTGCATGGGGAAGCACAAGCTGTGCTGCTGGCCTTCAGACTCCCTCCGTATCACAAGCACTTGCTACATTTCAAAGTACACTGTAGCTGTCTTCAGACACACTAGAAGAGGCCATTGGATCCAGTTACAGATGGTTGTGAGTTACCATGTAGTTGCTGGGAATTGAATTCAGGACCTCTGGAAGAGCAGTCTCTTCCCGAAAATTTGTGGTCTTAACCACGGAACTATTTCCTCTAATCCAAGAAATGAACCATCTCTTTACTCTTCCGTAGTTACAAGAAGCTGGCACCAGAGGAATAGAAGAAACCATGACGCTGGGATGGCAAGGCATCCAGGGGTGCTACACCTGGGGTATCATGGTTGGTTTCCTCCCTTCCTTGTACCTTCCCTGCCCTCTGCACTGGGGATGGCTAGCCTGCCCCAGTACCTCCCTCTGCTGTGTGGTTCCTGCCCCAGTGTTACTGTACCCTCTGCATCAGTGTGTAGAGTTGGAGTCATTAGTATATTCGGAGATCTCACTCTCCCTGAAGATCCATCCTGTCCTTTCCATGCTCCTCTGGAACTGTCACTCTAGCTGTGTGTGTGCTGACTTCTGGTTTGTGCTCTGTCTGAATCCCGTGTCAGTCCCACACAGATCCATCCCTGTGTGCACCTGGGAGAATAATTATCTGTCTTCGTAGCTTGGAGCCTCTGCTCCAGTGGTTTCCTCTCCCTGCACCCCTTCTTATTCATCATGGTTTAGACGACTTCTTCAGAACGCTGCCTGGATCTCTCCTCCTATTGGAGTGGGTATTGCCTTCCCCATTTGCTTGGTTTCTGCTGTTTCCTCAAAATGCCTCAGTCTCTCTGGTGGCCTGTTGTGGCATTACATAAGACAGGTGGTTGGAGCCATGCCTTGAAGGCTGACTGGAAACTTTCTAATTTCTTTGCTTGTTTTTATCTATCTTGTGGTGTGTGGGCCAGCGGTCAACAATGAGTGTCCTCCACTGCTTTCCACCACAGTGTTTCAGCTAAACTGGTTGGATAACAAACCCCAAGAGTTTCCTTTCTCTGCCAATTTGCAAACATGTACAGCTGTGCCTGGCTTTTTTGTTTTGTTTTTGTTTGTCTGTAAGATTTATTTCTTGCCAGGCAGTGGTGGCGCATGCCTTTAATCCCAGCACTTGGGAGGCAGAGGCAGGTGGATTTCTGAGTTTGAGGCCAGCCTGGTCTACAGAGTGAGTTCCAGGACAGCCCAGGCTATAAAGAGAAACCCTGTCTCGAAAAAGAAAAAAAACAAAACAAAACAAAAAAGATTTATTTCTTTTTATGTGCATTTGGTGTTCTGAATATGTATGTCTGAGTGAGGGTGTCAGATCCTTTGGGACTGGGGTTACAGGCAGTTGTGAGCTGTATGTATGCGCTGGGAATTGAATCTGGGTCCTCTGGAAGAACAGCCAGTGAGTGCTCTTAACTACTGAGACATCTGTTCTTACTTTTCCGTAGAGATCTGTTTTGTCTTTGTTTTGTTTTCAAAACAAGGTCTCACTATGAAACCCTGGGGTGATTTAGAACTTGCTATTTAGCCACTTGGTCTCAGGACTCATAGCGATCTGCCTCTTGCCTTGGCTGCCTTATGCAGCTACACTAGAGATCTGAACATAGGTCTTCACACTTCCACAATAAATTTACCCACCGAACCATCTCCCCAGTTTCAACGCCCTTCATTGAAAGGCCACTGTGATACTCTGGGTTTCCTTCTTCCTGGTCCCTTGCAATAGTGGGAGGAAGCGGTAGGGAAGATACACAGTATCTTCCATGTGTCTTAGGCAGGCCTCAGATTGGACTTGTAGCAGAGGATGATCTTGAACTTCTGATCCTCTTGCCTCCCTCTGTAGAGTGCTAGGATTAAAGACTTGCTCACTTGTGCAGTGCTGGGAGTTGAACCCAAGACTTTATATAAGCTAGGTGAGTTCTGTCCCAGCTGAGCTACATCTCCAGCCCAAGGTTCTTAGCATACTCTTTGAGGGCCACAGTTTAACCCTCAGAAGGAGGAGAAAGTAGGTAGGTGAAGTCTGAAGCAGAGTACTCTGTGATACAGAGAAGCAATCTAGCTCTAGTGAGTTCTGGGAAATAAACAGATGGAAGCTGGAGTGGAGAGCAGCTATGAGATATGGCCAGGTCAGACATGTTGGGCTTCCTAAGGCAGATGGGATGATCACTTAGGAAAAAGGGCCATCCTCAGTGCCACATACAGTATGTGTTCATCTAGCTCCTACCAAGTCCAACCTGGCTGGGAGACAACACAAGTCACAGAGCAAGGGGTCCTGGCCAGAGGGACCACTGCTGTTTGGAGGCCTCAGCTAACTCTCTCCTTATTGTCATTTCAAGTCAGAGTGAGAACTTCTTCCTCAGAATGCTAGGAAGCCAGCCATCGGAGTCTTCACACAGAGTATTGACAGGACAATCTTTTCACAAAGATTCCTCTGGATGGAGCTTGGTGTGTGTGTTGAGGGGAGTCCCAAAGCAGTGGGCACAGTGCAGAATGACAGGTGATTGCAGCAGAGGGACTGAAGAGTTTCTGTCAATGGAATCAACTTGTAGATTAACTCCAAACAAACAAATAAACAAACAACAGACAAAACTCAAAGTCAGAGAAGGTAAGAAAAATTAATATAATTAATTAATGGGCTGGGGATATTTTTAGCATGCAGGGAGCCCTGCATACACTGGTGGTGTCTGTTATACCAGCACTTACATTAGGAGTTAATGGTTATTCTGTCCCTAAATAAAGAGTTGAGACTGGCCTAGGTTATAGAGACTTTGTCTGGGGTTGGGTGTGAATAGAGAACATATCTGAACCCACAGCCTTGAGTGTGCTAGGCAAGTGGTTTACTCCTGAGCTACTCACCCAGCTCTGAACTGGAGGTTGTACAAATTATATACATATATTGCTGAGTAGCGTGAATCCTCAAATCCTTCTAGGGGTTGTTGGGGTACCTGGCTGAACTGAGTTATCTGAGCTGGAGAGATGGCTCAGTGATTAGGAGTACATACTTCCTGCCTGATGGGTAATTGCCTGTAACCTCAGCTCTAGGATCTGGTGCCCTCTTCTGGATTCCACTGGCACTTAATTTTTGTGTACCCCCACCCATATACACATAATTTTTTAAAAGACTCCTTTAGTTTTGCTGGGAATGGTAGCTCCTAACTTTAGTCTCAGCATTGAGGAGGCAGAGGCAGGGGGTTTTCAAAAGATCATTTTATGTGTATGAATGGTTTGCCTGCATGTGTGCATGTGTGTTGCATGCGTACTTGGTGCTATCAGAGTGCAGAAGAGAGCACCAGATCCTTTGGAATTAGAGTTAAAGATGCTGGTACCCAAATCCAGGTCCTCTGTAAGAGCAGCAAGTGCTTTTAACTGATGAGCTATCTCTCTAGCCCCCTAAAGATAAACCTGAAGCCAGGTATGGTGGCACAAGCCAGAACCAAGAAGGCAAAGCCTTCTACATCTGAGACTACCGTGCTCTACATAGCAAGTCCCAGGCTAGCCAGGAATGGGAATACATAGTGAGTCTCAGCACCACATTACAAACATTTCTCCCTCTCCTTGTCTTTTTCAAGACAGAGTTTCTCTGTGCAGCCCTAGCTATCCTGGAATTCGCTCTGCAGACAAGGCCGACCTTGAACTCACAGAGATCTGTCTGTCTCTGTCTCTGCCTCCTAAGATCAAAGAGCTGTGCCTGTTAAGGATCTCTTTATCATAGGAAAAAATGCCCTTTCTCAAGGTCCATAACTTGGATCCAATAACAAGAATGGGAGTATTTGTGTGATTGACGTCCAGAGAGCCTGCTGCCATCAGAAAGCCCCTTGCAAGTAACATAATGACATTCTGTGCCGAGACCACCACGTTCTTGATTGTTTCATGACATTGCTTCACTTGCGTTTCAGGATACTTTAACTGGAGGCAAAGTGCAGTGGCATGAGTCCACCACCCTGGAACTCTAGAAGTGGAGGCTGTAGGATTAGAATCCAAAGTCATCAATGGCTACATGTCAATCAAGTTTGAAACAACCCAGGCTACATGAGATCCTGCCGAAGAAGGAAGAGGATGAGGAGGAGGAGGAGGAGGAAGAAGAAGAGGAGTAAGAAAAGAACAATGTAATCTAATTATAATGAGATCTAATTAGATCAAAGTATTCAGAATACCTAGTCTGGCTACAATTTTAGTTGTATTAATTCAGTGTTCTGCTGTATAAAACATGAGTAGCTGTAATATATATGTTTATATATGTATGTACAGAAATATGTACATATATGTACACACACACACACATATATATATATATATATATATATATATATATATATATATATATATATATATAAAATATATTTCTATTGGGAGCTGAGGAGATGGTTCAGTGATTACGGGCATTTGTTGCTTTTCCAGAAGATCCAGGTTCACTGTCCAGCACCCATATTATGGTGGCTCACAACCATGTGTTTCAGCAGTTCTGACACCTAACAAGAGGGTAAAACAAGCCATGTATAGATAAAATTTAAAAATCTCTTAAAAAGTTTAATTTTCCATTGTTTTTAATTATGTTTAGGTGTGTGCATCTGCATGTGAATATGTATAAGTGAGTTTACGTCCTCAGAGGTTAGATGCTTAGGGCCCCCTGGAGCTGGTGTTAAAATACAGTTATCAGCCAGAAAATGTGGGTGCTGGGAGCCAGCTAAGTCCTCTGGAAGAGCAGCAAGTGATTTTAACCCGAGCCATCTCCCTTGCTCTACAAACCATGCTTTTGAGGTGCTAATAATTGCAGTATCCATTTTTATGAGCTGTGAAACACTTCCCCAAAGATTTCAGAATTCATGTCATTGAGAGTATTCCTGAACAGTGCTAATGAATCCTTGTAGGTAAGTGAATGTGTGTCCCCAGCCCTGGCTTGAGGCTGCTCTTCGTGTTTGTGCGTGGAGGCGGGAGGGCAGGACTAGGCATCTCCCTCCTGTGCTCCCCACCTTATCTTTTTCGTCTGTTTGCTTTTCGTGGTTCAGCAAAGAGTAAATCAACGGAATTTTGTTCTCAGCACCTTTGCTAACTTATCTTTTGAGACAAGGTCTCTCACTGAGCGCAGTGTTCACCCATTCATTGATTGGCTAGAGGCTGGCCAATGAGCTCTGGGGGCCTGCCTGTCTCCACTCCCACCACTGTAGGGACAGATATTGCCATGTTCAACTTTTTTATTTTTATTTTATGTGTATGAGTGTTTACCATGAATATATATGTATATACACCGCATGTGTTCTCAGCGCCCAAGGAAGTCAGAAAAAGACATCAGACCCCCTGGAACTGGAGTTACAGATGGTTGGGGATTGAAAGTGATCGTCTGTAAGAGCAACTCATCCCCTTAACAGCTGAGCCATTTCTCCACACTCAAAACATACCCAGCTGCTGTCACCTTTTCTTCCTCCTCCTCCTCCTCCTCTTCTGGGACAAGGTCTTACTGTGTAACTCTAGCTGGCCTGGAACTCGCTCATGTAGACTAGAGAGCTCCATCTGCCTCTGCCTCCCAAGTGTTGTGGTTATTAATGTCATGCATCAGCACACGGGGCTCCACACTCAGCTGTTTTACATAGGTGCTGGGGCTGTGTACTCTGGTCTTCATGTTTTCTCTTTACTGACTGAGCTGTCTCCCTAGATTCCTTATTTCCTGAATTGTCATCACTGTTTGCGTGGCTTTTCTCATCATCTCTTGTGGCCATAACTCATTACTGTTTGGGGAGGACTAGGGTGATGATAGGGGAAAATGGGTGTAAGTGAGAGGCTTCCTAGCAAGCCAGTGATGGTTAATCTTGTCAGATTGATTGGACAGAGACTTGCCTAGAAAATTAAGGACAGGGTGTGAGATACTCAGTGAGACCGGAAAAAAAAGATGGTGGAGGCACACACCTTTGAAAGGCAGAGGCAGGTGGATCTTTGTGACTTTGAGGTCAGTGTATTCTACAGAATGAGTTCCAGGACAACTAGGACCACATAACCTGTTTTGAAAAACACTCACTTTCTCATCTTTAATCTCAGTGCTCAGGAGGCAGAGGCAGGCTGATCTCTGTAAATTCAAAGCCAGTCTTTTCCTATATACTGAATTTCAGGACAGCCAGGGATGTGTAGAAAGACCCTGTCTCAAAAATAAAATAAAAAATTAAAAAAGTAGAGCGGTTGTGGAGAGGGTTCAGTGGGCAAGGCACAAGCATGAGGACCTGAGTTCAGGTTTCCAGCACCCACAGCTGAACACTGTAGCACAAATCTAATTCCATGTCAACATGGAGGAGACAGGCTCTCCAGAAGCTTGTGGGCCCATTAGCCTGGAGGAATGAAACAGCAAAGGAGACCCTGTCTGAAAACATGGTGGAGAGCTATTGAGAAGACTGGGTGGGCTTTCTATGAAAGAATTTCATTCCCAGGAACTCCTAAAATAAACGGCAGAAAATGACTCCATCAAGTCTTTTGATTACCACAGTTTGCTCACACATAGTACAAATATTTCCACTGGGTATAATGACTCACATCTTTAATCCCAGCACTTAGAAGGCAGACAGGCACATTTCTGTGAGTTCAAGGCCAGGCTGATTTCTAGCCTTCATTCTACAAATGAAGTTGCCGACCAGCTAGTTTGTTTAAAGGAAAACACTTTTTATAAAGAACAAAATGGAAAGTGAATTGTCTTGTCTGATTTTTGCATGCAGGCCCTAGACTATGCGTGCTTGCACTCAACACAAATGTATCTACATATACACAGGGCGTTTTCTTTGTGGTCATAGCTTAAAAGAAAAGTACCCTTCTTTACCATCACCTTATTTAACAGAAATATTTTTCCAAAAGCAAGTTGTTAGACTAGGCAGGGTGGCATGTCTGTAATCATACCCTGGGGCTACATAAAAAGACTCTATCTTACACTCCCCCTCCTCCCTTATCTAGAATCAACGAAATTAAGCTAGACATGGTGGTGGTGCAGTATATATAATCCCGGCACTGAGGGGGTGAAAAAGGAGAGTGGTGAGTTCAAGGTCAGTTTGAGGATACCAGACCCTGTCTCAAAAAACACAAAACTGAACCAAAGTAAACAAAAATTAGAAGCAGAACTAAACACGAATGCGATATAAAGTATCTATGGGTGTCAAGCAGAGACTGGGAATACCACGGCCCAACGTTCACGGCGCCAGACCTCCACCGATGGCACCAGCCAGAATCATGTAATGGGGCAGGAGCACCGACATCTCAGGATGCCGAGGTTTAGGAGCAGGCCGCGCTGAAAGCCTCGGATGACCCGAGCACTCAGTGTCTCGGAGTCAAGAGCTACTTCCTCCGGCGGACTTAGATTTAGGGACTTCCTCCGGCTCATTCTCTTTTGGGAGGCCGGGGTTACTAATGTAGGACGGGATGTGAGGAGGGGATGACAGACTGCCGAGTACCCCCAGTTTCTGGGGACACTAGACGTGCCCGCCCGGTGACCGGAACCGTAGACAGTTCTCCGTCTCTCGCGCGTTCTAAAATGAGGACAAAGCCCGCCCGGATCTAGAGCGCGCGCGCAGCAACAGCCAATAAAATGCCAGGACAATGGTGAGTGGCGGTTCACTTTAACCAATGAGAGGATTCGTTGTTACGAGGTCGAGCCCGGCTCCGGCATTATAAAGAGCTCCACGAGTTGGCATTGTCAGGCGGTGGCACCGCGCGGGACGGAGTTAAGGTCTTCCTTATCCACAGTGTACGGCGGCGGCCGAACGGAGCGACAGAGTCCGTGGACGCGGACGAGCCCTCGGGGGTGCGAGCGTGACCGCGGCCAAGCCCGCGTCGCCTTCTGCGGCGAGTAGGGCCTCGCGGCGTCATCGGCGGCGAGGTGAGCGGCCGGGCCGCGGGCGGTGGGCGGGAGCTCGGGGAGTGCCGCGGGCCCTGACGCGCTGTCGCCGCTCGTTGCAGAAGCCGCTGCGGCCTGGCCGACCATGTCGGACGCGGCTGAGGAGCAGCCCATGGAGACGACGGGCGCCACCGAGAACGGACACGAGGCCGCCCCCGAAGGCGAGGCCTCCGTCGAGCCCAGCGCCGGGGCAGCGGCCCCCGCGGCTCCAGCCGGGTCTGGGGGCGGGACCACGGCCGCCCCGAGCGGGAACCAGAACGGAGCCGAGGGCGACCAGATAAACGCCAGCAAGAACGAGGAGGACGCAGGGTAGGTGCGGCCCCGGGCCGCGGGGCCGCCGCCTTTGTTCCGGGGCAGTCTTTTGTTGGCGCCACGCGGCGGGGGGAGGGGCGGACGGCCCGCGGAGCAGTGCCTGGCGCGCTTGCCGGCGGGTCCGGGCGCGGTTACGCGCCTTGGAGTTTGCAGGAGTTTGCGGGATCGACTTTGAGGCCGACCCGGGCTGCTTGCGGGGTGCTTAGGCTACAGCGGGCCTCGGGGCGGGCGGCCCCGGAAGAGGAAAAGCGGCGGATCGCGAATCGGGCGGCGAGGGCTGCGTCTGTGCTGCGTGGGTGGAGTTGGCGCGCAGCGGGCCGGGCCTAGCCAGCCTCGGGTCGAGGGGCGGAGTCCCAGTCTGAACCCTGGGGCGGTCTTGGCACCAGGAAACCCAGAGTTCCTTGGGACAGGTACTTGGGAGGCGGGGAGCTCGAGTAGATTCATGAGTGCAGATCACGCTGATTTAAACTTGTGAGGGGTCGTGGGTCCCGTTCTTCAACATGTTCTTTTCCCATACATACAGTGTGCGGCTATACAATCTCGGTCAGCTGTGAGTTCCCAGTTGAGTCGAGATTGCAGAGCAACACAAGGCTTAATTTGAAAGGGGGCACCATCTCAGACTGGTATATGGGACTGTGTGGCTTCATAAGCCCTTCCCCAGCTAGGAAGAGTGTCAGAATTTCTGTTTAAAATTATTTTCAGCTTCTAAGATTTGTGGTCGTTCGTGTCTCTCACTTTCAGAAAAATGTTCGTTGGTGGTCTGAGCTGGGATACCAGCAAAAAAGATTTAAAGGATTATTTTACTAAGTTTGGAGAGGTTGTTGACTGTACAATAAAAATGGATCCCAACACTGGACGATCAAGAGGGTTTGGGTTTATTCTCTTCAAAGATTCTTCCAGTGTGGAGAAGGTAAGCTGGGTATTTAGCAGCGATCTCTACTAGGATTCTGAATCCTAAGGAACTCATGCACTGCAGTGTTGACATGATTGCCAGAAGCCAGCTTAGATTCCTGTTCTGAGTTAGTACAGATGGAGTGAGTGATTCTGGAGGATTACAGTTCGTACTGTTAAAGGCTTACTGAGAGTCCTCCAGGAGGGTAGTGAGCCGGACAGGAGCCAGTGCTGCTCTCAGCCTTCCCTTACTACCTTGTATGTGCCTATTCACGGGCTTGACGTGCTCAGTGTTTTACTGTGGGGATTAAAAGTCTGACTGAGCCAGGCAGTGGTGGCACACGCCTTTAATCCCAGCACTTGGGAGGCAGAGGCAGGCGGATTTCTGAGTTCGAGGCTAGCCTGGTCTACAGAGTGAGTTCCAGGACAGCCAGGGCTACACAGAGAAACCTTGTCTCTAAAGGCCCCCCCCCCAAAAAAAAAAAGTCTGAGATTGCTATAAGGATAGGGTTTTTTTGTGACGGTTCCTGCATTTATAGGGTAGAGTGAGGATTTCAGCAGTAGATGATCTTGTTCTTTGTCACTGCTACTTTATAGAAAGGAGGTGGATTAAGAAAGAATGCAGAGCATGTCAAAAGGCTGGGATATAGGTGTTCAATGGTCATCTTTATGGGAGGTTTGGAGAACATTGGGTTGAGAACTCCATTTGGCTTAGCTCCAGAGAATTTTAAATCAAGCCCATTTGGTGTATACTTTTGTGTTGTTTAGAACCTGACACATTTCTGTTTTACACAGGTCTTAGATCAGAAGGAGCATAGGCTGGATGGTCGTGTCATTGACCCTAAAAAGGCTATGGCTATGAAGAAGGATCCTGTGAAGAAAATCTTTGTGGGAGGTCTAAACCCTGAAGCCACAGAGGAAAAGATCAGAGAATACTTCGGCCAATTTGGGGAGGTGAGTGTGTCTTGTTTCTTCCTGGTCTTTGTTGGACTTGCCTGATACAGTATTAGTGGGGTGTTCTCACCTTTCAGATTTCTTTTCTTAGATTCATAACCTGTTTTGGGGTATCAGGAACTTTGTATGTTTTTACAGATTGAGGCCATTGAACTTCCAATAGATCCCAAGTTGAACAAAAGACGGGGTTTTGTTTTTATTACATTTAAAGAGGAAGACCCTGTGAAGAAAGTTCTGGAGAAAAAATTCCATACTGTCAGTGGAAGCAAGGTAGGTGTCAAAACTGTCTTGCTCTTGGACGTACAGATTAGGTTAGACTATTTGTGAATCCTTCTAGGTCAGTAAGACCTTATGTTTCTCTACAGCACACAATGCTGACTAAAATAGATGGTCTGGCCTTTAAGAAGTGCTAGGCTGGAAACAGCTGGCTCAGTGGCTGGGTCTTCAGGAGAATCCTGGTCCATTCCAAACACCCACAACAACCTATAACCACACATTTCAAGGGATCTGATGCTCTTTAGTGGCTTCTGTAGGCACAGTATACTGTATTGTACTTACAAGAATCATTAATAAAAAGTAAAACTGGTATATAGGAGGCAAAGAGGACGCTTGGCTTCTGTGAATAGAGCTGTTAACTAGATTCTCTGGTTTCTGATTTAGTGTTAGAGGTTATGTTAGTGTTATGAGATTTAGTGTTAGGGGTTACAAGACTTTTAATGGTCTTAATAGAAGTTTTCTGGAACTTAATTAGGTTTCCATCTATACTGATTAGTTTTTCTTGCTTCAGAGGAAGCTTTGCTACTGTAGTCAATCTTACTGCAAAGACATTATGCAGACAAAGACATTAAAAGCGCTCCCTGGGATCCTGATAACTGCAAATGTGGAGTCATGTTTAGTGGAGTGGTATGTTAGTGTAGTAATAAATTTCAAGTTGATTAGGATTGAAGGTGTGGCTGGCTGTGGCTGAGTGTAGCTTACTGGAGAACTGGAGTGGCAGCCTGGTGAAGTAGGGTGGGGCTCCAGAAAGATTCTTTCCCGTTCTCATTGGGAGTTTTAAAAAGCTTGGGTAGGGGATTAAATAAAGCATGCAGTTGGCTGGGGCATTTTTAGTTATTCTAGTGAACAATGACTTCTTTTTTTGTGTGCTCTAATGTGAAGTAGTAGGAAGAGCCTTGAGCTTCCTTCTATGGTAGTGAAAACTGCTGATGGACCTTAGAAGTAAATACTCAAATTACTCAGTGTCTTTAATTCAGATAAAATAGAAAGCATAGCTTGATAGGGAGGCACAGTTTAATCTTCATACCGCTGACCTAGCTGCCCTCAACTTGAAGAGTTCTGCCTGTTTCTACCTCCCAGTGAGATGAGATTAAAGACATGTGCTATGTCCAGCTCTTTTTTTTACCCTTTTTTTTTAAAAAATGGGAGTATGTCAGGACTGTCTTTAAAGCATACCATTCTTTGAAGCATGTACACCCTGGAAGTTTTCAGGCATAAAAAAGTTTGACTGGGTCTTGTTTGGATTTAGAAATAAAGCCTATCTCAATAATTGACCAATAGTAGCAGCAGTATGTCTTCCAATGAAGCCTTACATACTTGTTGTATCTGTAAGGTGGGTGTTGTCGTGCTGTCCTGTTACGGGTATTTGAGTAGGACGAGATTCTTCTGGAAAAAGAAGAGTAAAATCTTTAGTGCCCTCCTGCCCACTATTCCAGCCCTGAGCTTGTCCCATAGGACTTGACCCAGTGTCCTCTTGACTTTTAGTGTGAAATCAAGGTTGCCCAGCCCAAAGAGGTGTATCAGCAACAGCAGTATGGCTCTGGGGGCAGAGGAAATCGCAATCGAGGGAACCGAGGCAGTGGTGGAGGTAAGTGGGAGCTGGATGAAGACTTTGCCTGCCTGAAGAGCTTTCTGTGCCTGTCTTGGGGATTGCCTTTTGGTGCCGTGAAGGGTGGGGTGGGCGGGCTGGGTGTGAAGTGGGATTGGAATGGTTTTCCTGGGTGGAGGCTGTGTGCTTGTGCTGCTATGGCTCGTGGCTTCACGGAATGAAAGAGCCTTATCTTTCTCACTGGTGCAGCTTGGGGGCCCCAGGCCAATGGGACATTTGCATTGCACTGGGAGAATGGTGGGGACACAGTAGGTTATGCTTAGCTTTGTGGCTGTCCTGAGTCTTGGTACACACATACCTGTGGGCAGAAAGGCAAAGCTGTGCCAGGCGCTTAGCTCAGCTCCTTCTATCCCAGGCCCCTCTAACTCCAAAGCCTGAACTGCATCTTTTCAAGGCAAAGCTGCCAAGGGAGGGTGGAGGTGATCAGAGGGTGATTTGAGTGTAAGCGTCCTGTATTCACAAGTGAAGTTAACTGGCATCCTGGCCCTCCTGGATTACAAGGCTGGGCCTAGGGCCCTCTGTACCAGAACAGTAGCCTCTTGGCTTCTGAGTTGCCATAGTAATAACCCCGCCACCCAAAGGGCAGGATTTCCTCCATCCTAGCTCCTGCGTGTGCTAAATGGTCCATGGGCCCCTGTGCCCTGCTCCCCCCCACAGGTCAGAGTCAGAGTTGGAATCAGGGCTACGGCAACTACTGGAACCAGGGCTACGGCTACCAGCAGGGCTACGGGCCGGGCTATGGCGGCTACGACTACTCGCCCTATGGCTATTACGGCTACGGCCCCGGCTACGACTACAGTAAGTAGGAGAGGGAGGCCCTATCTACTTCCTCCTAGGGGAGGCAGGTTAGGTAGTGCAGGGGCCACTGGCAGCAGGGGCTTTGGAGTCAGACAGGCCTGGCACAGGCACTGGAGCTCTCAGTAAGGTGTAAAGCTGGTGTTGCTGTGCAGGGTTAAATTCTGAGGATGTGTGGCAAGCGCCTGGCACTGGGTAAATGTACAGTTAAGTAGTAGCCACAACGTTGTTCTTATTCCTAGGTCAGGGTAGTACAAATTACGGGAAGAGCCAGCGACGTGGTGGTCATCAGAATAACTACAAGCCATACTGAGAGGCAGCAGGAGCGGCCGAGTGACGACCGCACACGCTTTGTTTGGACGCGGAGTGAACACAATTATGTACCAAATTTAACTTGGCAAACTTTTATGGCCTGTCCCATGTGCATCTTATTTAAAATTTCCCCCGGAAATCACTCTCCTGTTAACTATTCCAGAGCTCTAGTTGTTGTAGGCAGCGTGTGGCGTCTCAGAGGCCAGAGCGGCATTAGGGGGCCGATTTTATTACCAGGTTACCCTGTTCTAGATTGGAGGGTCTGCTTCCTGCTGCCGCTCTGCAGCCTGGACCTGTGGACCCTGGTTGTAAAGAGTAAACTGTATCTTAGGAAACCAGTGTCACCTTTTTCACCTTTTAATTTTATATTATTTGTGTCATACATTTCCAGTAATGGAAGTGTTAATTTTACTGTACTTTTTGGTACCTTTTGGGAATCTAATGTATTGTAAGGTATTTTACACGTGTCCTGATTTTGCCACGACCTGGATATTGAAGCTATCCAAGCTTTTGAAATAAAAATTAAAAACAAAACCCCAAGCCTGGGAGTGTGGGATGCTCTGTGAGACCTTGCCCAGTGTTAGAGATGACCAGGTGTTCTGGGACTAGGGTCTCCTGTAGCAGAGGTCTTTAGCTGTTTTCCCACCTAATCTTTTTCAGCTACCCTTTTGTGCCCATTGTTGCCATAGCTAGAGAACATCTTGCCATGTGTTATATGTGCTCCTCATCCTTAGTTTCAATCTAACAAATCAAATGCAAGTTGAAATTTTGGAGATTGGCTGGTGGAGGTGGGGCCAAGTCTGGCTTACCTGGAAGGCGCTTGATCCTCAGTGTTTCACAGCTTCTTACTTTTTCTTCCATGTCTGGAAAAATGATGACAGATCTGCCCTACATGGTTCTCCATTGTCTGCTTTCGGTTTCTAAGATGCTTGGGGTGGTTTAGAGATTGGGCTTATGTCCCATCATTTCCCTAACACAGATGGTCCCATTTGTAAGCCCAGAAGCAAGATACCTCTCACTCATGTTCTGTACACATAGAATCCTTTTAAGAGCTGTATCAATTCCAGACATCCACTAGGGATTGGGCTAATAAGCAGGAATAGGAAAGGTTCCTTGCTAGCCGTTTTTTTGTCTGTTGGGATCTGAGCTTTGTATAACTACTTTGGTGTATAGTCATTTTTAGTTCAGTAGTTTTCTTAAATAAATTGAGGGAGACCTCGGGCTGCTCTTGACCTTGAGTGATTTAAAGGCCATCTTAGCCACTCACACATGTGAGAGTGCCCCCTATCTTGAAGATAAAATGAAGCTCCTGTCACTAAGTTTCTTTTGGGTTTTGAGACAGGGTTTCTTTGTTTGACAGCCTTGGCTGTCTTGCATCTTTATAGACCAGATTGTGATTGAGGATGTGTGCCACTGCTGCTGGGCTGAACACAAAGGCATCTTATCTTGAACATGTGATCTCTCCCCATTCCACCTACCAAATTTTGGATCATAGGTGGGGATGCTCATGTCTAGTCAGTGCAGGTAGGTAATGATTACAAATTACAAAGGCCACGCTTTTTGTTTGAGCTTTCTGATCTAATGGATACTTGGTATCCATTGGATCTAATGGATTCTTGCAGGTTTACCTGTTAGAATGTCATCCAGCTTTGCTACCACATGTTGTGCATTGTCAAGGCTGAAGCACATTGGAGGCTTGAACTTGAGGATATTCCTCCCAGGACCATCCGTGCTCAGTAAAATGTAGTTTTCCTTTAGCCTGCAAGAACAAGATACTTAGACAGGCCTTGTCCTCTGTCCTGTAACTCTCTGAAGCTGACCTTGAACAGGCACCCACCTTACCTTACCTCTGGCCAATTAACTGTTCCTCACCCGAGGTACATGGTTAATATGTTGAGCTTACCACTGTTTATGTGGCTCTGGTTTCCCTGGAACTTGATCTATATAGACCAGGTTGGCCTTGAACTCTGAGATTGACTTGCTGTTGCCGTCTAAATGCTGGGATTAAAGGCATCACTATGCCTACCCAGTTCCACATTATCACTAAGTAGCCCAGGTACTGGTGACCCAGGGGTATGAAATGATTATTGTCCTTTTGAATTCCCAGTTTTTATCCTAGAGAAAGGCCAAACCCAGGAGACTACCCAGCCCTGCTTAGGGTAACTAATTGGAGCACTAGCCCTGGCCCTGACTTCTAAATTACCTCACAATTTACAATCTTTGATCCTCACTGGAATGGATAAGCTAGCTGGCTGATGCCAGTTACTATTGAGTAGGTAAATGAACATATTTTACTAAGTGAATAAACTCCAGGAGGTTTCATGGTTGGAGTAGGTTCAGTAGAAGGGGTGGGTGTTTGAGGTTGGCTTGAGGCTCATTGCTCTAGGCCATGCAGGGACTCAATGCTTCCCATTCTGGGAAAGCAACTTAATTTCAAGAGAAAGTACCTGGAGACCAAATATTCCGCCTCTTCAGTTGCTGGTGTCCTCAGGGTCTCATCTTTGATCAGATCCACACCAATGAAGAGTCCAGTGCCCCTGAAGGAGGTAACATCTTTATAGCCGTGGTCCTTGCCTTCTGCCCTCACCTTAGCCACCCCAGTTTACCCTGGAGGGCAGTGGTCTTGGTGTGTGTGTGTGGATTGGAGATCTTCAAATCCTAGTTCCTTTTAGAGGATGGATGTAGACATTTTTTTATCCATGGCAGGGAAGTTGAGACAATGTTGTGGCAGGTATTTTGATTAGTGTGCTTGTTGCCCCCAGAACCTTACCTGACATCTCCAATGATAGGATGCTTGGCTTTCTGCTGGCTGAGATGCTTCATAAGGAATCTGCCCACATTAGTGGCATGAGCCTGGAGCTGTTCTGTTTTCAAGACATCTAGGACTGCTAGCCCCACAGCACAGGATACTGGGTTGCCACCAAACTAAACCAGGAGATAACAATGTCAGATGCTCTGCCAATAGACCAGGATTCCATGGGATTATCATAAGACAACTGGTTAGGCCACAGGCCCTCCAAGCTTTCACAATTGGGGCTTTCTTAAACTGGTCTCTCTCTACTTGGGGGTAGTGGTGCTCTGCTTGTCTTCCTGGGTCTTCAAACCAGGCCAGGTAGAAGAGGTAAGATGCCTAGAGAGAATTGGTCTACCCCTGTCTCCTTGCCTCTGACACACCCCCACACAAATCTTTTGATAATCTAAATAAGCTGAAATGCTTTGGGGATTTGGCTCAAGCCTCTGCCTACCAGGCAGTGTTGGCACATGCCTTTAATACCAGCACTCAGGAGAGGCTTTTGGATCTCTGATTTTGAGGCCAGCCTGGTCTACAAATTAAATTCCAGAATGACAGCCAAGGCTACACAGAAAACCCGTCTTAAAAAGGGGAAAGAAGTAGGCCCTAGTGCCAAGCATTTAATAGCAACATTCAAGAGGCAGAGGCAGGTCCACATAAGTCTAGGTCAAACAGTTCTGTTGTGAGACCCTGTTTCAAAAAGTGTGTGTGCATATGTTCATATGGGTGCAGAGATGAGAGGTCAACCTAACCTTGAATGTGGATGTTAACGAGAGACATCATCTTGGTTTTGGGGACAGTCTCTCACTGGTACCTGGGGCAGACCACTTAAACTATACTGTCTATCTGGCAAGCCTAGGAATCCAGTCACTGCCTTCCTAGTTCTGAGATTACAGGCCTGTGCCACAAAGCCTGGCCTTTTATATGGGTTCTTGGTCCTCATGTTTGCAGAGTGAACTGCTTTATGAACTATCTTGTCCTTTATGAGTTTGATTTTGTCTGTGTGTGTAATTGTGTGTAAGGAAGGAGAACAAGATAAAAGCTAATGAGTGTAGCTTAGTGGCAGAGTATTTGGGCTCTAGCACTGCCCTTACCTATTAAGATGTCTTTTTTTGTGGTTCTGGAATCAAACCAAGGCCTTGTACATGCTAAACGTGCTTTACTACTGAGCTACACTTTGAGCCCACAGACAACACTGTAGACAGATAAATATAAACATTCCCATACATTGGACAGGATGTTCATTGCCCTGTAGGTATTTAAGGTAGTAAGATTGCTGTTTTTACATAGGATTTTTTATCTTTTGAGATTAAGCAGTGATTCCTTAAAGTATAAGCAACAATCACATTCCCCCCCCCAAAAAAAAATTTGACAAATTAGATCATCTAAAATGTATTTTTTACTTTTATTTTTTTGAAGTAGGATTTTACTAGAGATCAAGCAGTCCTCCTACCTCAGCCTCCTGACTGCTGGAATTAAAGGTATACACCATCGTAGCTGGTTTCATATAAAATCAATGGCCAGGGAGCTCAGTAAGTAAGAGCCATGCAAGCCTGATGAGTTTGATCCCTGGAATTAAAGTAAAAAGCCAAATGTGTAGCATGGTGGTGCATCCCAGAACTTGGAGGCAGAAGCAGGAGGATCTCTCTTGAGTTTGAAGGTAGCCTGGTCTACATAGTAAGTTCTAACATAGATCTGTCTCAAAAAGAGATGATTGACAGTTAATGTTTGTGTGGTTTCTCACAAATATATAAAGGAAATAAAGACTGCTGCCAACTGGCTAAACATATTCACAGCATACACTATTGGCAGGACACTAACCTTGCCTAAATATGTGTGCTCAAATGGGTATCTCCCTCTTCTACACAGAAACAGACAGACAAACAGGCATGCATATACATAGAAATTTCCACAAGCACTAGCAACTAAAGAATGGAAAAAAGACATACACCATCATTTCACAGAAGAGGGAACACGTGGACAGTAAACTGGAAGAGGACTGTGAAGAAGCTAAGCTTTGTCTACAAGCCCGAAGCCCAGAGTTTCACCTGTGAAACCCACATTGATGGAAGGAAAGAACTGATTCCTGCAAGTTACTGTCTTTCAGGTACACAACAAAGTACATAAAATAAATCTATTAAAACTATAAAAATCAAGAGATGCTTCACAAATCTGAATTTGGGGAACAGTGTATCAAAACCGCATGGATCACTATTTTCTATCTCCCTTGACTGACAAAAACTTAAGTGCTGATGAGGAGCTGAGTGTGAAGGTGCATTCCTGTAATCCAGGTGCTCAGCTGGGACAGGGAGATTGCCATCAAGTCAGATGGATTATGTATTTAATACCAGGCCAGCTAGGACTTCACAGTAAGAGTCTATCACAAAACAAATGCCAAACAGTACTACTACTGGTGATCTGTTTTGACCTGTGAACTTCAGGAAAAGTGTCATTATTTTCTAAAACTGAGTATGGACACCCTCTGGCCCAGCAGTTCCACCTCTGGGTTAATTTGTAACTGATTTTTCTCACATGGAGAACAGACCGTTAAGAATTCTTATAGTAGTGGTGTTCACAAGACATAAAAGACAGCTTCAGAGCACATTGATAACTATGAGCCAAGTGTGTTACAAAGCAGGGGAAATGAGAGTGACAATATAAAATGTCAGGTGAAAACTAACCCACAGAATCACCAGAGTTAACATGCATTATGAGAGAGCTCAAGTAAAGCAAAAAAAGCAACTAGAACAGGCAACATGGGTTCAGAGTTACCCATCAAGGGACAAACACCAGGATAGATGCAAGGTAGAGTCAGGAGCCTAATCTTACTGAGGTGAGAGCTTCTCATAAGTTTAAATAAACAGAGCCAGTGAGGTAGCTTATGGGATTAAAGTACCTGTTGCCAAACCTGGTGGACTGAGTTAGATCCCCAGAAGGAACCAATGACCCCTGATCTCTACACATGAGTAACCACACGTGAACTCATATACAAATAAATATAAAAACCTTAACAAAAATAACAAGTACCCAGCTAACTAGAGGAGGACTATTCAAAGATGGCCAGGCCCCATTGGGTGGGTCATCTGCCTTCCAGGTAACAAACCTTTTTCTGTAGCTGGATAATTACTGCTCACCCACAGACTTTGCTCCTGACTTCTCTTGTCTCTTCTACTTGTCCCTAAACCCTGTGTCCACTTCCTGCCTGGAATGTCCCTTCTGCTCTCATAGTGGACCATGACATGCCATGTCTACTCAGCTAGATTCTTTAGTGTTTCCCTGACATTAAAGCCACCCATGGCAGAGGCTGTCACTTAAGCACAGAGTAAATAAAGTCTGCTGAAAGCACCAGATGAGCCTACACTTCCTTTGCTCAGTGACCCTCATTGCCTGTCTGACATCTTTCCAAATGCCTACTTCCTTAAAAGTTCAAATGGCTTTTTATGGAAGTCATGATGACTACCCCAACTCCTTTCCTGCTCTTGTCCAGATAAATCTCCTACTCCATTTGTTCCTCTATACTGACCGCCAGGAAAGTTTCCACATGGTACTTCAGACCTCATCTCTCTGAGAAGGAAATCTTGGTAGTCAGAGTAGCTCAGTGGTAGAGTGGTTGTGTAATGCTGATAGCCAAGGAACACATCCTTTGTATAGTTTCTATTTCTGTGATGTAAGGAGGCTCTGGCCAAGAGTCTGCGCCTATTCTCATCCCTCATCTGCTGTTTCAGCATCACTAAGCTGGGTGTGTGTCAGCTTCTGTTAGAGAAAGCCCTTGGCTTCTGCTCCAGGGTCAGGGAACCATCTTTCCTCCATGACATGGTGTGAACCTTGTATATCCTAGGGTGACCAAGACTTCACTCCTCACTAAGGTTCTTAAGCTTTCTGTTATAGGAAGGGAGCTTCTGCTGGAAGGAAAGGGTTCTTGTATCCTATGTGTTTTATACAACCTTATCTGTGACTCATTTGGACTAATTAATTTTGAAAAATGTTTTACAGTATTAAAAAGAAAATCTGACCTGGGCCAGGTGAGATAGCATACACCTTTAATTGTAGCGCTTGAGAGGCAGAGGTAGGTGAATCTCTGAGTTTGAGGCCAGCCTAGTCTACATAGTGAGTTCCAGGCTAGTCAGGGCTACACAGTGATTGTGTCTGTCTCTCTCACATACAAAACAAACTTGCCCTAACTTCAGCTTCCTGGAGGATGGTATGCTGGGTATAGCAGTAGCCTAGACGCCTTCACTAACAGAGCCCCTGTCCTGCAACTTTACTCACCGTATTGAAGTATTCTACACCGGTAGCTTCAAATGCCCTTGATACAGCTTGGGTAGTGGCCATGCAGGCAACAGGGTGACCATTGCCGATGGACTTTCCCATGGTGACAATGTCGGGGACAAAGTCTTCTCCCTCCAGCTGGAAGGCCCAAAAGTGCTTGCCTACTCGGCCAAAACCAACCTGGATCTCGTCTGCCACAAAGAGCCCTCCAGCTCTGTGTACAAGCCTGTGGAGGACAGATGGTCAGCAGGGCTTTGGTGAGAGGTGACCAGAGCTGGGAAGCTGAGTCCTCACCTTGGGCATACGGTTGGCCTTCTCTGGGCCATTATTTCTTTAAGGGTTTTGTTTCAGAAACTTCTGGCAGGCAGGCTGGGCTGTAGTTGGAATTTGGAATTGACCTCAGGAAACCCAGTTGCAGCCTGCCCTCCCTTGGGCAGAGCCTGCCCGTTTACTCACTCTGCCACCTGGGAGAAGTAGCCAGCAGGGGGAATGATCTGTCCACTCACACTGGGCAGAGACTCAGCGAAGAAGGCTGCGATCTGTGAATGAGGCAGAGTTCAATATGCCTTGCTGACATTGGCAGTGCCCCTTCCTTTGAGTGCCATGCCATATCTAAGGGTGTGCATCACCCTCTTGATGCCTCTGTCCCCGTGTACTTGGACTTGCTCCAGTCAACTAAGGTCACGTACGCACCCGCCCCCACCTTATAAACCTTATCTCCCCTGTCCCCATGTGGTAACTTAGTTTCACCCTCCCTAGAACAAAAATGTGGCTCTATCCTTACCTACACCTTCCTTTAACATGCCTTGCAGACACCCATTGTCTCATGGCTGTCACATCTCATGAGCAGTAGTCCTTGGCTACTGCTGATGCTGTCTTATGGGATTCCTTTTTCTGTTTTTCATATTGCCTTCAGGAGGATGCTTCAATTCACACATGGATGTCATATTTGTCTAGCTTAAAACTCTTTACCCATGTATGGTTTCCCCACCGTGTTTCCTCTTGGGTCTTTTTTGGAGGCTTCTCTGGCACATTGGACAGCTAACAATGGGAAATTGCTTTTATATTTACTTATCTTTTGTTTTTTTCAAGATAGGGTTTCTCTGTATAGCCTTGGCTATATTGAACTCACTCTGTAGACCAGGCTGCCCTTGAATTTAGAGATCTGCTGCTTAAGTCTGCCTCCCAAGTGCTGGAATTAAAGGCATGCTTCACTATGCCAATCTTGAGAAATTTGTTATTTAGAAGTGTCTGTGGAGCATTAAAGACCCTCAGCTGGTTCTGCTAATTTCTCCTTTCCCATGTTTACTGGTTACTGCCTGAGTCTTAGAAAACCCAGTTGCTAGCACTGTGGGGAGGCAGAGAGGCCTTGGTCTCGAAGGGTATACACTACAGTCTGCCTCCACAGAATCCCCATAGACTACCTTGGAAAGGCAGCACCAGTCCCTGTCTCTAGGTTTCCCCAGTAAAATACATCCGTCATGCAGCAAAAGAGTGAGAGAGCAGCCAGTCCTCGGGTCTCCTTACCTTCCTTGTCTATCTGTCTCTGCCTCCTGAGAGCTGGGATTTAAGGCGGGTACTACCCACGCCAGGCTTCCTGCCTTTTGACTTTTTAAAAAATTCTGGGGCTGGAGAGATGGCTCAGTGGTTAAGAGCACTGGTTGCTCTTTCAAAGAGCCTGAATTCAATATCTAGCACCCACATGATGGCTCACAACCATGTATAACTTTAGTCCCTGGGGATTCAACATTCTCTTCTAGCCCCTGTGGTGCACAGACATACATGTAGGCAAAATACTCATACACAAAAAATACTGAAATAACTAAAAAAATTTAAAGTTATTTTGTATAGAGTTTCACTAAGTTGCTCAGGCCAAGGTGTGGTTACCTTCCTGCCCTTCTCTTGTGCACTTCGGATGAGATGCTTCACCTCGCTAGCATAGGCCTCTGCTGGATTGGGGTGGTCCTCCCGGTAAGGGCCCCGGTAGGTGTCTGGGAGAGGAGCCTGTAGGGAGAGACTACCATGTCATCCAGGCTTGGGGGTGGAAACTGAGCTGTTGTTGATGGTGGGTGTACATACCACATGGACCCATTCCTTCTGGCCATCCAGATTCCGGAACTTGTAGGGACTGATGTCGATCAAGGAGCTCAGGTGACCATGATAAGCACTAGGGAGAAGGAGGATATGGGCGTAGGCCCCAGTAAATGGTGGCATTTGCTTCTGGCTCAGCCCTAACCACTCTACCATTTTTTAATACAAAACACATGGAAAGCCAATCTTTTTGGCTCAGGTACTAAGCTCTTGAGCTGAGGATGAGTGCAGCCTTGGAACGGCTTCCTGAAGGCCACATACTGGCATGTAACAGTTGTAGTCATCTGACCACTCTAGGTTCAGTTTTCTGCTCTGTGAAGTAGGGGCATAGGGTTATAATACATCTTAAATCTTAACTCATTTCTAATGCCCTTTGGTCTCTGGCTTAGTCAGCTGAATCTCCAAGTGCTGATTTGACTCTCTTAGAAGGGTGAGCAGTAGACAAGGCCTCCAGAGAGGTGTCATTGGAGTCAGGTTTTCATTTCTTACTGGCTTCCAGTGTCCCTGCATCATTCTCTTCTCACTTACAGGCCCAATGTCAGAGCCTCACTGACTCCTAACAGGCCTGTGGAGCCTAGGTTCTGGAGAAGCAGGTCAGTGAGTTGTACTTACTGGTCTAATACCACCACATCCTGGTGTCCTGTGTACTGGCGAGCTAGTCTCAAGGCCAGGTCGTTGGCTTCTGACCTATGACAGAAAATATGGGCATGGTTCAGAAGACTCAAGCACTTCCCATGGATTAGGAACCCTTCCAGCATCGAGAGCATCCTTAGGATGCCATTCCCTTGGCAGACATCCACTGGCTTCTGTGCATCAGGACCAGGGTGAAAACAGAAGGTGCCCTCTAAAAACTTGCATTTGGATGCATCTATCTTCTTCTTCTTCTTTTTTTTTTTTTTGGTTTTTCAAGACAGGGTTTCTCTGTGTAGTCCTGGCTGTCCTGGAACTCACTCTGTAGACCAGGCTGGCTTCGAACTCAGAAATCTGCCTGCCTTTGCGTCTCCAAGTGCTGGGATCAAAGGTGTGCGCCACCACTGCCCAACTTCATTTTGTTTTCAAGACAGGGTTTCTCTGTGTAGCTCTCTGGCTGTCCTGGAATTCACTCTGTAGCCTAGGCTGGCCTTGAACTCAGAGATCCACCTGCTTCTGCCTCCCAAGTGCTGGAATTAAAGGTGTGAGTCACCACCAGAGCCTGATAGTGAAGCCAAACAGTAAAGATAGAGTGCTCATTTCTGTAAGTGCCAACACTGGGCATAGGGTGTGAAGGAGACCCAAGTGAGGCTCCATGTAGGTAACAGTGTGATGGGGTAAGCTGTGTTCTCCTAAAACTATGTTGAAGCCCTAACTCACAGTACCTCAGAATGAACTGTGTGTGGTTTTGCTTGGAGAGAAGCCCTTTAAACAGGTTAGTTTAAAGGAGGCACCTGGGGCAAGTCTCAACCCAATGTGATTGATGTATATATGAGAAATGACCTGGATTCCCAGAGATATGGGGTGGGAGGGGAGAGCATCTGCATAGACCCTGTGAGCTGGGTGGAAGGGCAGTTCTGCACTAGGTAAGGAGCAAGGCCTCAGGTCACAGACCCTTCTGAAACCATGGTTATGGACCTTTAGTTTTCAGAACTTTGCGAAAATACATTTTTTTTCTTTCTTTCTTTCTTTCTTTCTTTTTTTTTTGTTTTGAGACAGAATCTCTCTATATAGCCATGGGCTGTCCTGGAACTCACTGTCTGACCAGGCTGGCCTCAAACTTACAGAGATCTTCTGCCTCTGCCTTTCAAGTGCTGGGATTAAAGGCAAACACCACCATTCTTGGCCTGAAAAAATACATTTCTATCAACGCTTTGTTATGGCTGCCCTAGCCTTCATTACAGTGGGGCCAGTGATAGGTCTGTAAAGAGGTAATACTTGCCCTAAATCCCAAGGAAGATTCTAGGATTCTGGAACAGACCACACAGGTTCTGTTCCGTTTGGTATGCAACCAGGGCAAGGAAGCCAGGAAGCTGGGGAAGACATGCAGAGCCATGCTCCAGGGGCCGAGGGGAGCCTGGATTATCTCCTCAGCAGCAGCACACAAAGCCAAAAAAAGGATGAAGCAGAGAAAGTACATGACTTTGCCCTCATTTTAGGAGTCTGCTTCTAAAGGACATGAGGTGGGAGTGAGGAAGCCCTGAGGCTGCCTGGTTGAGAGCCATGGGGATGAGCTAAGAGATTCTGGGGGCAGATTAGGTAGGAGTGTGTGTGTGTGTGTGTGTGTGTGTGTGTGTGTGTGTGTGTGTGTGTGTTCCAAGCACACACAGGTAAGATAGTATGTGGATGGTGTATGTGTGTGGGAGAGCACACATGTATTTTGCCTGTGTGTGTGCTTGGTGCCCATGAAGATGAGCACAGATGAGATCACACAGGGGAAAACAGGAGTGGGACCTGCCCTACAGAGCAGAGGAGAGACAGGCCTGGGGACCTGCCCAGCAGAGCAGGGGTCAGGGGCTGGCAGCTGGTAAACACTAGAGCCTGGAGGCAAGAAAGAGGAAAAAGCATCTGCGTGGAGAATGACAGCTCTGTCAAAAATGATGAGCAACACGTAAGGGAGCGGAGAGGTTACAGGACTTCGTAAAGTCACTGGAATCTACACAGAAGGAACTTGCTGGAGGGAGGCAGCAGGAACCGCCTTTCCTGTGCCCAGTTCCCTGTTCTTTACAAGAGGTTCCAGTCTAGGCTCTTCTGTCTTCTAACCTGCTCTCCTCTTCCTCCCCTCCCTCACTGTTTAATACTGTGGTATTGGGGATGGAAAAGCCTTTGCACACTAGGCAAGGGCTCCTACCAAGTTGGTTTGTTTCCTTATTTGAAGAAGATAAATTCTACTTTGAAGTTCTTCAGGAGACTGAAGACTAAGTGGCAGTGGCACCTGAGATTGTTACTGCAACCCAAGTGCTACTTGTTGGAATGCTCTTTCAGACGTGACGGCCATCCTCTGGGTTCTGTCATCACTGCACTCCCCATGCACACACCCAACATTTGCCACTCTTGCTCTCCCATCCTGTAGCACCGCCTTCCTGATTAAAGCCCTTCACTGGGGTCCAGGGACTGAAGAACACTGGCTGCTCTTCTACCGGACCTGTTTTCAGCTCCCACATGTCAGCCCACAACTGTCCATAACTGCAGTTCCAGGAGATCCAAAACCACCTTCTGGCTTCCCCTGGCATCAGATATGCACATGATGATAGATACACATGCAGATAAACACACTCAGAAAAGATACACAGGAAACATCAGGACTAGGACAAACAGAACCAACCCTCACCCCCAGTGCTCTGTAGCTTTCTAGTGTTTCATTGTTTTTGTTTTCTGAGACAGGGTCTCTCTATGTAGCTCTGGCTGTCCTGAAACTAACTCACTCTGTAGACCAGGCTGGCTTTGAACTCACAGAGACCACCCGCCTATGCTGGAATTAAAAGTGTCTGCCACCACTGCCTGGCCTCTAGTGGTCTGAAGATAAAAACAGCTTCTCCCGCTTGACAGCAGCCCTGGATCCTTTCCCAGGGTCTGCTCACTCTTTCGCCAACATTCCTTGCCCCTTTATGCCACAGGACCTTTGCCCAGGCTATGCCAGGGTGGTGACTAACCTTGACAAGGATACTTTCCCCAGAGTGACAGTACCCTTCCTTCCTTCCTTCCTTCCTTCCTTCCTTCTTTCCTTCCTTCCATCTCCTCTGGCTACCTCTTCAGGAGCTCCTAGCATCTTCATAGAGGTGCAGTAAAGTTAGGTCCCTGCTGCTTCTAAGACCTCATTATTTAGTATTCTTGCTTCAGAAAAGGACACTTGCACAATTTTACATTCTCTGAGGAATCACTTGATGCCCTGTAAGCTTGCTGAGCCACCTGAGGGCTGAGTCCACAAGGAATAGATAAACCCATTACTTCACCAAGTCCCAACGTGCCTACAAAGGAAGAAATGGGAGCCAATAGAAAAAGCTCCGGGGTCTACCACCCAGCAGCTCAGGAGCTCGCCCTGAAGTTGGCTCCACTCCCCCGGCAGCTTCTCTATACTGCACCCACGTGGATGATTCTCTTCTTTGAACTTCTTCTCAACGGCATGTTGTCTGCTGTTCACTTACCCAGAATTCAGGAAATAAAACACAGAAAGCTTCTTTGGCAGGGTCTCTGACAGCCTCTGGGCATAGTCCACGATGTTGTCGTGCAGATATCTGCTGTTGGTGTTGAGCACCAGGTTCTGTTCATGTGCAGCTCGAACCACAGTAGGGTGGCAGTGCCCGACTGCAAGAGGGGCATCTCCATCATATGGCCGACTTCACTCAGCCGGCCCCACCAGATCCCCCCTCAGCTCCGTCTGCAAACCCGTCCAGGGGAGATGAAGTTACTGAAGGCAAGGTGGAAAGGGGAGTTAGTGATGGGGTGGGGGCACAGCAATGACTGTGGGATGGAAGGTCTTGAGAAGAGAGTTCAGCCGAAGGAAAAGACGGTCCTGTAGAAACGCTATCTAGAAAACACACGTTTTTAGAGAGGTTTTTTGAGACTCAGCTGGAGGGGGACGGTCAGAGGGTCAGCTATGGGAGTAGCAGAGTAAGAGCTCACCATGTGCCAAGTACGGTCTAAGCAAGTTAGCAATAATTAACATACTAGCCAGAGCACCGGGTAGTGAGTCTCTACCAACCCGGCTCAGGATTAGGTCATTTCTTCTTTGAGGTCATCTCTCTGTGAAGCCCTACTTGTCCCTGAAACTTGCTATGTAGACCAGGCTGGCCGTTAACTCAAGAGATCCACCTGCCTCTGTCCCCTGAGTGCTGGGAGAGTCCTGGGTTTTAATCTTTATCTGCCTGCAATGTGCCTTCTAATGCAAAGCCTCCCTGTCCTCCAGCTGTGGTGGCCCCAGTTGGCTGAATTCATCCTTCAGTTTCCTGTTGCCCCTACAGTAGTCAATAGGGGTGAAGGCCTGTTGTCATCACCCTGCAAAGGGCCAAGATGATCATGCTACATGTGTGGTCATGGATGGGCAGACTATATGCCCAGCTTGCTGTGAGTTCCACGTGCAACTTGGACCCTGGCATGTGAACCTCTCATTCCTGCCTGGTTTAGCACAGATATGGTGTGGAGTCCTTTCAGGCTACTTCACAAAGACTAGAGTCCCCTCATGAGCATCCAATCCAGTTCTGTTCAGCTAGGCTGTCGAGTCAGATATATGGCCTCAGCCTCCTCTCCTGTCTGAGCAAGGATGGGGAGGCATCATACTGACCATGCGCCACGTTGTTGATACAGTCCAGGTACTCTCGCCCTTGCTCGTCGTACAGGTACTGCCCTTGGCCTCGGATAATCTTAACAGGATCCTCAGGAAAAAAGAGTCTGCAGGAAGAGCTGTGGGGACAGGCAAGGAATCGACAGCCCTCTCTGAAGACTGAAGGGTGAACTCCACTCATTACAGCCCCCTTCACTCCTTCCTGATTCTGGAACGGACAAAAGCTTGCAGGGCAAGGTGTAACTAACTTCCCTGCACTCCCCATTCCTGAGAACAGTACGGGGCAGAAAGTTGCTGAGAAAACTGTTTAAGCCTTGGTGGCCCTCTCAGTTTTGCTTGCACACATATCAGCTTCTCGGGTCCTGCTGAAAAAGGCTTTGGAAAAGCCTCTTGTTAGGAGCTGCATCTCAACCCTGAACATTCCTTGCCATCCCAGTGGCCCTGCTGTCCCTCGCAGTGGTGGCTAGCTCCAGTCCTAAGCTCCAACCATAAGCTCCTCTCCACGTGGCACCGAGGGTACCCCCTCACAGGCCAAGAGTAGACTTCCTCTAACTCTGTGACACGACTGCCCACCCCAGGCCAGGCCCGGTTCCTTATGCAGGTGGCTGCCAGGGGCAAAGCTCGCTCCTCGGGGCAAGGGACTCCCCGGAGTTACGGGGTGGTTTTTGGTCGCTTCTAGTAGGCTGAGAGAGGCGGGGAAGTCAGGGACTCGGGGCGGGCGCTATAAGCGCCTTCCGAGCCCACACCCGGTACCTGAGCAGCCGACGTCTCAGGTCCAGAGTGACGGCCTTGGCGCGCGTGTCCGCGGCCATGGCGCCGAGCGGTCAGTCAGTACCCAGACGCTGCGCGCTTAGCCCCGCCCTCGCCCTACGTCAGCTCTGGGTGGGGCTTCAGTGCTGGTCCCGCCCCCATGAGCTCCCGTCCCTGGCGCGCAAGCAATTTGCAAGCACGACCTCTTGTGGTTCGCGTCATCTAGGGCGGATACTCTGCGCTGATCCAGGGACGTACGTCGTCTTTCCTTCTCACTTCGGAGGTTTCCCTCCCAGGAATTTGTCCCCAGACTGCCGAGTGGAACGGGACTCTACATTGCTGCTGGGCACGCCCGAGCAGGTTGCCCTCTCTGCAATTAAAACGTGACGCCCTGTAAGGGTGAATTACTGGCACCCTGGAAGGACAGGTCTTTCCCAGCATGGCGCAGGAGAGCTAGGTGCCATTTCTGGGGCCAGACAGGGTAAACTTGGCATGTTGCTACACGAAGAGAATTTTGCAGTGGGCAGATAAGAAGAGAGTTGGGAAACTTCTGAGTCCTTCTTTAACTACTGTGCAGGAAACAGGCCCAGAAAAGAAAGGGGCTTTGCTCCAAGGTACACAATAGGCCCGCTGCAGAGGCTGGACTAAAACAAGGTTTCCTGGACTCCTAGCACACTGAATGACAAGAGACCTCTGTGGTCCCGGAGGTGGGAGAGCAGAGATAGTCCCTTCGGCGTTGAGCACTGGGAATGACTGACTGCCTTGATAAACCCTGGAACAAAGGTTTGGGGATGTCCCTCAGCGGGCTGGGGCAGTCTTCTCCGGTAGCTTGTTTCTTCTCTTCCTAGAAGACTGCAAAATGCTTACAGCACATATTAAAGAACGGCCTTATATTGTCGTGGGGTTTCTTCATTTGTTTTTATTGTGGTAAAATATACATAAAAAACAAGCCATTTTGAAGGGTACAATTCAGCGGCATTAGTACATTTTCAATGTTGCATCCTGTCACCAACATCCATCCACAGAGCCCTTCCATCTTCCCAAACTGAGTGGAGTTTCATGTTTTTAACCATAAACCCACCTAAGAGTCCATCTTTTGCTCAGAAGAGGCCTGTCCTTCCTGCCCCTGGCCCCATGCTAAACATCCTCTCTCTATATTCTGGTATCTGTCTTTTAAGGCAACACTGGGGGCCAAGAGGGCACAGGCTGAGAGGAGGAAGGGACTGAGCTAGACTTGGATGTAGTGAGGACATGTTGGTGCAAGCCTGTAATCCCAGCACCTGGGAAGCTGAGGCAGAACTGCAACTTTGGGGCCAGCCTAGGCTATGTACTGGGACCTTTTCTCAACAAGCAAGCAAACATAACCCATGCCCAACCCTTGAATCAAGAGCAGGGTTTTCTCAGCTGGCATTCACAGTGAGCAGCTTTGCCACTGGACATATCCAGTGTCCTGGATTTCAGGTGTATGCTAACCTTGACTGTCCGCTGAATGCCAGGAGTGTCCCCCAATCCTGTGACAACTTAAAGCCTCCTTTAAGGGCAGGAAATCTAGTAAGGTCGCTTCTTTCAAGCCTTGGAGCCATTAGTCCACGGGACAGTCATCTTGGTGGTTTCTTTAGTGGCTACGGAACATGGAATGGTCAAGGACTCAATAAACAGACTCCTCCCAGAATTATATGACTTATAGAGACCTGTCCTTCTTGGTAGGAAGAACCAAGGCCTCTCAGTCCTTGAGGCTCATTGGCGAGGCAGTGCATGTCCCAGCACCTCACTTGGGACCTTGAACAACTCATTCTCAGTATCCTCACTGCAGGCTGACATAGTACACTCAGATACAAGGTATAAGTCCACACGGGGGCAGCAACGTGCCAAGAATGGCCCACGGCAGCCAGCCTGCGAGGTGAAAGGGAGAACTTGCAGCTTCATCCTCTAGAAAGCTCTACTTGCTGTCCACCCAGTGTCAGGGGTCTGCCGGGCATAATCCATTCGTTGCCAACAATTCTGAAGAAAAATTAGGGGCCCTCCAAGAGCATGGAGGTCTAGCCTGTCACTCTAGCCTGGCTGTATATCCCTGAGCAGATGACTACCCACGGCGAGCCTCTGACTTCCTATATGTAAAATGGATGCAGTGACACCTACTCCTGCAGGCCCTTTCTTCGAAGGCCTGATAAGGGGATCACATGATGTTGTTCTTGGGATGAAGGAGGGGTCCTTTGCCAACTGTGGAATGTGGTGGACTCTGGGATGCTGCATCTCCAAAGCAGGCACTGACACCAGTGAGATACTTTAGTCATCTTGGTCCACTACATCTGTCTCTCCCCCACCCCGTTTCTGGTTTCCTAGTTGATCCAGTGTGGCAGAGAACATGGTCTGCTGTTTATTGCCAGCTCCTCAGGGGGACCGAGGTAGGAACTTGAAATCATCTGTGTGTGTGTGGGCCTCTGCTTAGCAAAGAATGCATGTGTACAGTCTGGGAGTGTGGCCCTCCTTGGATCTCTGCCCCTGGAGAAAGGGGGACAGAGACACTGTTGTTGTCACTCCTGTTTTTGTCTACACATAGAGAAAGAGCTTGGTTTTATCATCTATGAAAACGGACACGTTTGTTGGGCATCTTTCTCCAGGTTGCTCTAAGGACAACTTAGAGGGAGACATGGGCCCACTCTGCAGGACTGAGGTTATTACTCCGTCTTGGAGCAGACAGAGCAAGGACAGACGGCCACAGGTACTTTGGGGTGTCTGACCTGTCCTGGCTCTCCATGTATATTCCACAGAGCTGAGTCTTACTGAACCACATCTGAATGTTGAACATTTCTGTCTCATGCTACAGATGAGTGGCAGGAGGCATTACTTAAGATGCTGTAACAAGGGCTAAGATTGTAGCTTTTTTGGTTAAGTGCTTGCCTAACAGGCATAAAGTCTTTGATTCAAACTGTATAAGTCAGGCACAGTGGTGCACAACTGTAATTCCAGTACTTGGGAGTAGAGACTGGAGGGCCAGAACTTTAAGGTCATTCTGAGCTACATACATAGTGAGTTCAATGCTAGCCCGGGCTACAAGAGAGCTGGCTTGATTTTTACTTTATTTTTGAAGGCTACAATGAAATCTACTTTCCAATACTTTCTCATTTAAATGTGACATTGACATTTTCCTCATTGAGAGGTGGGTCTGCCTTCTACTTCAACTGGGGTGAACCTCTGGCTCTGGCAGGAAGTGGCAGCATGTGACTTTGGAGGCTTGGTCATATGAAGTGACATAGCTTTCTAGGAATCCTGCTGCCATGCTGTGAGGAAGCCCAGGCCATGCAGAAAAGTCACAGGTAGGTAGGTTTCATGATCACTGGGATCCTAGCTGACAGACAGATGAGGGAGAGTCCATGTGAGGACTGTTCAGGCGAACCCCTGAATCCTTAGAACTGAGAGAATGGACATTTTGAGGCAACAGATTTGGGGTGTCCTTGCTGAGCATAATAGAAGGGAATACAGAGGCTCAGTGACAGGCTGTGACTGGTCCCAGGATTCTGCTGACCTGTGAGTCCAGGTCTTGAGCTTCTATCTCCTATTCTGAACCCCAGGGAGAGCCCCTTTGCCTCTTCAGCCAGGAACCATTGGAATCAAACTCAGCCAGAGGATGACCAGGAAATCTGTAGGGACAGGCACACCAGACACACGTTTGTGGTTTATTACTCATGGCACCTTTACACGAGGAGGGATGTGAAGCTGTGGATGGAGCAGGAGCTAGGAACCTTCGATAGAGGTGTTCAAGTCCCTCCACAGACGGCAGAGGTTTCAGTCACAGGTGTTTTGCTCAGGGTTGCGGGGGGACCAGCCTTCAGGCTCCTGGTGTCTGTACCATTTACTAGGAGGCCTGTTTCTGCCAGACTGACCAGAGGTCTAGGTGGGAGACTTGGGGCCAGTGAAACACAAGTTCTGAACAGAAGGCCTGTCTCCTGGGGGATAATAAAGCTCCTTCCTGTTTCTGCTCTGGGTGAGGCGGTAAGGAGAGTGAAAGTAGCAACTAGTGGATATGGGTCTCTTCACCTTACAGTCAGGGGTCACTGGGCTGCCTGCAGCTAGCTGCACACTGAGGTGTCCACAGAGCCACGCCATTTCCCAAGATCCGAGGATACAAGCTCCTGTGTCAGGGTGGCTTCTGGAAGCCTACTGAACTTGGGTGGAGCAAGGCCCTCTTGGGGTTCTTTCCATTGCCTTCTCCCCAAGTGCTGGATTCTAGGAATCTTCGCCTGCCCTATTGAACATAGGGTCCCAGTGCAGCTGCCTACGGCACAGTCTAGAGGCAAGAGGGTACAGCAGTTGTCCAAGGGGGTGTTGTGGGGCAGTGCAGTTTCAGGGAACAGTTGTTGTAAGTCTCTGCTAATCAGGTGATTGTAAGCCCAACCTGGAGTCTGTCCAGCCTCACCTGAGCCAGGCTCACCTTCGTCCTCTTCCCTGGGAAAGCCAGGCCCTGCCGGGGGCCTTCGAACACAAGTTTCCCCAGAGCAGCCTGTTTGCATTCCTGCAGGCTTCCTGTTTGCATTCCTGCAGATTGTCCAGGGGCTGGTTGGCACACTTGCAAATCTTACAAGGCCACAGTTGGCACATCCCATAAAGAAGTTCAATATATTACTGTTTTGTTTTTACACGAGTTAAAAAACATCCAAACGGATCTGTACAGGTTGGGAGCTATGTCTGAGGATCACTGGAAAAGGAAGGAGAGATGGAAGGTGATTAGGAGCCTGGAGAGATCCTGGGGTCCCCACTAGCTGCTTCTAACCTCCTGATGTGTTCAGGAACAAGCATAGCCCTCCTTTTCTTCCCAGGACACTTTCAGTGGGGCAGTTAAGATAAGTCTCAGAAAATTCCTGAATGGTTTTGAACTGGTAGAGCCAAATGTCAACCATGATCCAGATAACCAGCGAGGCAGATGACACACAACAACTAGGACCAAGCTCCAAGCCTTGGCCATGTGACCACAAAGTCACAAACATCTTTGGGAAACATGACTATTCAGTCACTGTGTGAGACAGAGGTGCAGAGACTCAAACCTCTTCGTGATGGTGCCTGGTCCCCCATGGGTCCCCCTCTGTCTCTCTAACTTTCCCATCCCAACTCCTCCAGGCCCACCCT